TGATTTTATTATTCAATATAGTTTCCTTCGAGGGCGATACAACGATTATAGCGGTCATATAATTTTTCGATATCATTTTTATAATACGATTTGTCTTTAGCCTCAAAATAGGCTTCAGTTTCGGCGATTACCTCTTCATCGGCGCGAAATTTCAGTCTAGCGAGCATCCTCTTGAGGTCTGAGAACAGAAATAAGTCGCTGGGAGGCAGATCTGGAGAGTACGGTGGATGCGGAAGCAATTCGAAGCCCAATTCATGGAATTTTACCATCGATTTCATTGATTTGTGACACGGTGCATTGTCTTGATGAAATAGCAGTTTCTTTTTCAAACAGCAAAAGTTCTTTCACTAAAAATGCTATAACTCGGATACTAATAGTGCAACAGCTGTCAAATTTATACACGTGTCTTTTGAAGTTTAGGGCTAACTAAAAATCATATGGATTTGATACTAGTAGAGCCATATATGGGTCAGCCTACGAACTTTTCAGCCCGCCCTTGTACAGTTCAGATGTCAACTTTCATTTCGGCAATGCCGACTACCCCGTTCATCGTTTCTACCGAACTTCACATTTATGTTTTTGTAAAGATTATACCTAACATATCCATTGCAACGACGTAAAAACTTCAAAAAACTGCACTGGCACGATGAACGTGTCTTCGATCGGTTTTTTCTCTTTTTGTTTTGTATAGTCGAGATGTCGGCCGATGGTTGCATCGGTAAACAGAGGTCCGCGGATCCGGGGGTGACACAATAAGGCGCTGCAAAACACATTCTCGCCTCCTACGTCGTTCTCGTATGAATATATTAACAACACATAAACATAATTTCGCGAACAAGCCAGCCTCCTGATAGGTTACATAGCGTTCATTACTTGAACGTGGAGCTCGAGAGAGCGGCGGGTTGCGCTCGTTGCTCGTGAGTCTTTCCGAGCTTCGGTTTAATTCAGAGGTCGCATCGGCCGGGTGCTTAGTCACAAGTTTTTAATTTAAAACGCAGCGCGACCGCGACCGGCCTGATACATTAGGCCTTTACTTCTCTGTTAGTTGTTATCAGTTCGTGTAAACTTTCTTTATGGCCTTGTGGCGCTCGTTTCATTATGCCGGGTGGCCCAAAGAAACTCGTTAAATTTGCATTCTGCATGAACGTCCATATTGCTCAACTGCGTCTCGTCCCCGTCCGTCGAAGGGTACATACAGATTTGCACACACACACATGCAGCGCAGGTACACACATCGATACATTCTTGTGTGATGCCAATTTAAAACTAGATTAAACTACACGACTATCGACGTTCTCATAAATAACGATGATTGATCTGAACGGGGTTGTTCATTAAAACTTCAGATGGTTTACTCGTAATGTACTTTTCCATATACCTACCTACAGTGAAACTCACTTATAACGTACACGTATATTACAGACTCACGCTTATAACGTACCATATCAAAAGTACATTCTTATGGAACATAAAATTTTTATAACATGCTTTATTTATTAGTTATATCTGGATTGGAGCGTCCAAAAAGAGCAAATATAACGTACTGTTTATTCATACTTTTTTTTGCAAAGAATTTCTTTTTATTTTCTGACTTTCACCGAAATATTCTCATATTTTCCCGGAGATTCATATGATAAAAAAGGATATTTCATTACTGTTCATTATTAATTGTCTTCTGGGTACTAATTCGTAAGGTATATGTACTTAATATAACTACTAGTTTTGTTAATGATAGACAATAGGAGTCAATCAGGGATGCACACTGTCACCGCTACTTTTCCAATCTACATACATCGAGGACGCGATCAACATCATTACAGACAGTACAACTTTAGGGATAGATATACAGGGGCAAATGATTAGTATGCTTAGATTTGCTAATGATTTAGCAGTATTAACATCTAGCAAGGAGGGCCTATAGATAGCTTTAAATAAAATGGAAGCGGTACTGACAGATCAGTACTGTGTGAAAATAAATAAAAGTAAAACTAAAATACTGATATGCAAGGGAAGAAAAAGTAGGGAATGAGCGAATATAAGGATAGGAGACGAAAAATTAGAAGAAGTGGCTGATTTTAGATATATATAGGAAGTCAGATAAGTCAGGACGGAAAGAGTAGTAGGGATATAAAGCACAGGATAGCGCAGGGTCGAGTCGCCTTTAATAAAAAGAAGTCAGTTAGTTTAGAAATTCGAAAAATATTGTTGTAGGTGTGTTNTTAGAAATTCGAAAAAGGTTGTTAAAGGTGTATGTTTGGAGCACGGCGTTGTACGGGTGCGAAACATGGACAGTGGGCGCGGCGGAAAAGAAAAGGTTAGAAGCCTTCGAAATGTGGTGTTATAGGCGAATGATGAGGATAACGTGGGTAGAAAAGGTTAGAAATGAAGAGGTATTAGAAAGAATAGGAGAACAGAGAACACTATGGAAGTCAATAAAAAATAAGCGAGATAGGTTAGTAGGACACCTTCTCAGGAATGAAGGTCTAGTCAGAGACATATTAGAGGCAGAAACAGGAGTTAGGAGGGGTACAGGTAGACCTAGGTTAGATTACTGTTCGCAAATAATTAAGGATGTGGGTTGTTCTAGTTTTAGAGAAATGCGAAGTTTAGCTCAGGATAGGAAGGAGTGGAGGTGCGTGTCCAACCAGTCTTAGGACTGACGACCTTATGATGATGAGATAATAGGTGCTTTGACAGATTCCTACCAAACTTCACTATTTTATCTTAACAAATTGTAGATCTTGAATTGGGTATGTCGAATACGAAAAGGTTAAATAAATGAAAGAATTCTTATTTCGTCCTTGGAAGCTTTTGTTCTCGCTGTAAATGTCTTCCGCAATGGTATCTATATTTCCTGCAAATGAATATTGCGGATCCCTCGTCATTGCAAACGTAAATAAAGAATGAAAGAGAGAATGAATTCGACCGGTCTTTAGAGCAAGAACTGCTGCCCTTTGGCCGGCGAGAGCTGCCAGATGTACTCATCAACTCCGTTTCAGCCCTTCGCTAAGGGTAGGAGGCACGATGACCCATCTGCCCGCTCACACACTTACCGTCCTACATGATAAAGTGACAGAATTAAGGGATGGAGAAGCAAGTGGAGTAACTTTTCCTCAAATCGATTCACATAAAATAAAGAAGTCACCTCATTTACAGTTGAATTAGTATTACTTGTAGCTTTGGCTATTGTCATCTTTGTAAATATAAATGACAGAGGCGTAGGGTGAATTTCTAACCCTAAATTTGCTAGTTTACTAATTTTTGCAATTAAGATTAATTAGTCGGGATTGCAGCAAATATTTGAACATTTAATTTAACATTTGAGGAGATTATTAGATTAAGTTGAAAATATATCGGCTTATTTACAGAGAGGTTCCCTTGTAGACTCATATAGATACATACAAAAATATCGAACACCATTTTGACAGTTTGTTGTTTATTATTTTACAGCCGTGTCAGAAACAACGTTAAACATCCAAAATTGCGTGAGTCGGAGTATCATATGTCAGAGTATGACTGTATTTACTGTCAATTTGTGTAGGTACAATTTCTACATTTTTATGAACGCTTCCATTCTAAGAACCAGCGAAGGATATTTTAAAGATCTTTTGTTTTCCTTCTTTATCTGGAATATATTTATGTTTATTACAATAATGGTCTTGCAGTTGGTGTATAGTGTCTAGTGTTTCATGCAGGCTTGCGTCGTAACCATCACACATTTTAGCCACTTAACCTTCATTACGGTAACGTCAAGTTCATGTGGATGGTGATTTTACGAGGAATCCGCAGCGTTCTCTCTGTCAGTACATTTTCCATCGTCTAATGGGTCCACGGTACAAGACCCCAATCACTTTTAATTCTTCGCCTTAACCGTACGCTGCTCACAACGATGCGTTGCAACAATAAATATGTCGAACCGAACCCATTAAAATTAATTATAATAATAATTTAGCTCAGCTGAGAGTTTTGCGTATATATGTACATATACATACATTACTGATCATATATATTTCAAGGCTGCTAGTAATCGTAAAGAGTCCCAAAAGTGATGGAAGGTGTAGGCTATCGGAAATTTTAAGATTTACCTACTTTATGAAAATTATTATTACTATTATAGTCACGAAATGCATTTTCAGAAATTACCAAGAAACAAATAATTAATATCTTTAACTAGGTTTTGGTTAGGTTAGATTAGATTGGATTAGGTTAGAAACAAACAATAATATCTTTAACTAGGTTTTGGTTAACGAAACAACTTATTATACTGTACTTTATTTATTTACATTATTATTTACGCTATTAATGTCGCACAAACTATTTATACTCACATTCAGGAAACTATTTGTTTAATGATTTTTTCTTTGAGAAGTACTGAAATTACGGATCCTTTTGCTACTAATTAATTTACGAAATTTTTCCAAAATAAATCATTTAGGTTTATATAGGTATAATGTCCATAAGTGAATGGTCCTGGTTCATTTATTCTGTGTGAAAGGCAATCCAATTAAACTTTTCTGCACCAACCATATATAAATATATTTTTATTTACTTATTACTAATTAATGATTGTTAATAGTACATCTGTGCTTAAATTTTCTCAAAGTCAACGTATATATCACTAGAAAATCTGTATGTAAACGCTTTCGAATCCATTACAGGTATTCCAGTTTTCGAATTAATAGAAAACTTAAAATTTTTCAAAATATTTGCTAATGCAAGCTTCACTTGTAATAATCCAAATTTGAGTGCTAAAAAAAAAATTCGTGTTGAATTAATAAGAGGTGCTGCACGAGAAAAAAGATTGCGTGCAGTACATGGAATTTCTCGATAATATTATGACTATAGTTCAACATCTTATGAGCCTTCGTATGCGCAAGTGACGGACCTTATTGCATTCACTCTACAAGACGAAATGTGCCTCAATATATAACCAGGAATGCAGCTTCAAATGAACTGCTAACAGTGAACTATAGTGACAGATAATAGTTTTAACTGGTAGAAATATAGAAATCTATGAACGATCGGAGTTTTTTGTCATAGCGCAATTAATAGCCGAGATTCATGAGATTTCGAACTAAGTCTACTATGTGTACACTGACCTATGCAATTGCGGGGTCCTTCGATAAACGGCAAATACGTGCAAGGAGGTCGTTTACTTTTATTTATTTCAGTAAAACGTTCAGGATCGAACACTTCCGGGTTTGGATAATATTCCGGATCCATATGTATTCCCAAAATTGATATACATGCTATTACCCCTTTTTCTATTGTTATATTGGTACCTTCTACGTGATAATCTTGTGCACATTTTCTGAACAGAATAGAGACGGCAGGATACTTTCTTAATGTTTCTGGGAAGAAAAACATTTACATGCTTAACAAAGGCCCCAAAACCTGAGTTGGTTTAGATAGTTCTTAGTCTTAATAGATTTTAAGTGAAACTTCTTTATCGACGATAAGAAGGAAATTTGCTAGGGTATAAAACCGAAAAGTGTCACGTTACGCGTCACAGCGTCACGTACCACAAGTGACCCCTGGTGGATATATCCAAAAAGAGTCATTCTAACAGGCGTCAGAAGCTAACCTGTTAGTAGCAACCGATAATCNTATTTAGGGGAGAGGTGGCATGAAAGGGACATTTTTGTTTCGAGGATCCTAGTAATTAAATTAAACAAAATTAGGAAGCTCAGTTATGTCAGTATCGAAATAGGACAAAACAACAAACCATTCTTTATCCTTAGTTGTATATTTTTTAAACTTATGTATTTTGTCACTTTCATTAATAGAGTGTATTGAAAAGGACACGATGGTTTATGAAAGGGACAATACCCAATAACAAGGAAAATCAGCTTGTACTTTGCGATACACGTACTGATTATTAATCAATAGGTACGTGCACGTGTGCTGCAAGACTACATTTCTCAAAAAAATTAGAAATTAATAATTTACTTTTTGATTGTTAATTTTGATGTTGCTCGATTCCTTTACTGCTGAATTGTCTTTGATAATTCGCCTTACTTGCGTTAAACTTTATTTATTGTCTCGGAGTGTGTCTTTCTTTAATATATCTATCACATTTTCTAAAAGTAATTATCTTTTTCTGGGAATTCAGTTATAATTGGCGTTTTGACTTTGCGTTTCTTTTCTCCTATTTTTCGAGCTGTAGCTTTAGGGTACGGCCTAATCTGCTCTGGAGTTAGCGTAGGGTGTGGTGGATTTAAAACGCAAAATGCGTCACTTCACTATTGGAAGATCCAGACCGTGGTTCATTTGATGTAGAAGGTTCAATCTGTTGCTTACTAGGATTAATAGATTCAGTATATACTTCTACAGCATTGGAAGGTCTGGGTTGCGTTTCTTCGACATTTGTAATAAATTCATTTTGAGTGAAATTATCTATAAGATACTTATTATTTGCACTTACTTTATTAAAAATTTCGTTAGGACCAGCGATGTTTTGAGGTGACTGTGAGCGATTTGTGGTGAAAGAGACATCATTAACTTAAGAAAATATTGCCAACCACGAAAGGGTCAGCTATGAAGGGGACGTCCCTTTCATAACCGTTTGTTGTGTCCCTTTAATGACTATTACACAAAATTTAAAAATCTAACCTCTACTGTTACCATTTCATCTAAAACGTATCTTACCTATTGTTTATTTCAAATTGAATAAATAACTTATTACGGACAATTGCAGGCAGTTCAATTAACTATTTGGTACACACTACAGAAAGTTTGGAAATTATTAAAAAAAATTTACTTTTGAGCATGAAAAAATTCACAAGCACGCAATACTCGCGTCAGTGAAGAGACAGGACCGTGAATTTTGGTGCAAATTAGTGTGAATCGATGTTATCACACAACAAAAGTATTTCTATCCCGAGAAAATTTGTTGTTTGCCCGTAACTTGAGCTGACCTTTTCAATACGTGTCCCTTTCATGCCACCTCTCCCCTATATATGTAAAACCATCGCTATGTTTTTATAAAACACATTGATTTCCCAGCTTGTATAACGTAATTGAATTTTTATACATCTTGGAGATATAATATTAACAGTAAAATTACAAAGATCCTTGAATAGTAAGTAGTCTTTAAATTGGGTGACCCAATACCATCACCAATCAAGACTAAGTATTAAAACTGAGAATTATTTTTGCTCACCGTCAATAACTCTATTGAGGTATTCCATTTCAATAAGAGCCTCGTAAGTTATTACTCCATTATGTCTTTCCAAAACCGATGTCACCTCTTTGCGCAGTTTCTCTTGTATTTCAGGATTACAGCCAAGTTCGTACACGGCATCTGTTAATGTGGACGAGGTTGAATCGAAACCAGCGCTAAAGAGCACCGTTGATTGCACCGCAATATTAGTTCTTTTAACTCTCTCGTCTTTTTCGCTTTTCTCCAATTCCATTATCGATTGTAAGAAATCGTTATATTTTATATTATTTTTGATTCTATAATCAACGACTTCATCCACAATTTTCATAAAAAAATGTGAAACATCTCTGGGAAATACAACCAGTCCTAAAGACCGTGCCAAATTAGGAAAACCTCTGCTGAATGTTGCTTTTAGAAGTCGAAACAGTGAGAAATGGAATAACCGTTTTCCAAATTTTCTAAAATTGCAGTTAGGATATTCGAGGCTGTTGCATTCTACTCCAAGTGAGCAACTTCCAATAATATCTGTTATCATGCATCCCGCCAGATTTTTTATCTCAACGGGCTCCATTCTTTTTACATAATCGTCTATTTTCTTCACGAATCTGTCGTTATGAATTTGCAACAAAGGAAACATTGTTTTTAATTTATTTATTGTGAAAAGTGGTGTCAATTTAGTCCTCATATCTTTCCATTCTTGACCACTCGTGGTCAGTATAGTGAAACTAAAGGGATCACTTTTTTTGTTGTAGTACGCAAGGCGCTCGGAGAAATAGTTGAAATCTTTGATAAGGATGTTCTTGACAATGACAGGATCTATTGCTACATAAAGTGGAGAACAATATACGTATATTCCGCCTTGTTTTTGTTTGTTTTTCTTAAAATATTTGTATACGTCTGCCATTGCAGTATGTGCGGATGAGGTTTTATTAAACGGGCTTCCCAGACTTCCATAAGGAAACTGAGGGCGTTTTACGGCAATGTCGAAATCGTCCCAATACGTATACCTTTGCTTAAAAATTATGTATATTAACAAAATGCCCATTCCCAATGTCGCTAGTATGGTCATTAGCACTGATAGTAATATAGATTCCATGTTTTTAATTTTTAATAACGCACCTGCTTATACCGAAACCAAAACACTTATGTATACATACTTACTTATAAAATCTATAATAAGGATATATTAATGTGTACTAATTGAATATTATCATATAATTTAATCAACAAGTATTGTTAAAAAATGATGTTTTCAGAAATTATCTAGAATACATGAAAATGTTCTAAATGAAACTATTTGTAAGTTACCCGTATATCAATGGTAATTATGCAACATTAACATATCTAGAAACAGTAAAAAAACAAAGGCAAGATAAGGAACAAAAATAAAAGACAACATTTTTCAATATTCCTTGTTGTCCACATGGTAATTATTAGATATCATTATACCAACAAAATCAGTACGTGAATATTAATGTAGATCGAATACTTTGGGT